CTCCTGGAAACATAGCTGCGGAGGACCATCCATGGAAAAACTTTTTTTCCAAACCTGACCGTCACTCACAAGCAATTTACAGCTTCAGCAGACCTGATTTCTCAAACACGTGCTTACATACACGTGTACGTGCTGTGTTATCAACCTAAGAGGAATTTGAGCAATCTAAACTATATACTTGAGTGTATTCATTTGTCAAAATTAGTTTTTATCAGACGTTGGGCTTCTTTTTAACAAATTTCACTGTTTTCCACCCACACACAGTTTATTTTTCACGGTGTATTCCTGTAATTCCTTCACGGATCAACTATATTTGGGTTAAATCCCTTTTCTTTGTCATCTCTTATTGAAATTTCAACACCTTTACATCAGACTGCACGGAAAGCTCTGTGATTATAATGATTGGATTTTTCATTTCTCTGGCAAGCCAGACCTCCCGCTTGGCACTTTAAATAATACTAAAAGCATTGAGTAGAAGTTGGCAAAAAGGACATAATTTGACAAAATACTGTAAGGCTCAGTAGAATATTGGGAACCTGAACTTGCTGATAGAAAGAGTTGAGTTTGGATTAGTGTGTGGAGGGCCTGCAGCTCTCCAGTGAGAAAACACTGCTCACTCTGTCTCCTCCAAACTGGGAATGCAAAGGTTGGCTGCTCTGTCTTCCAGGCATGTTTCATAGATAAAGGTGTGTTTGTTGAATTGGTGGAGGGTGGGGTGAGTTTCTTTCAGCTCCACTGACACACATTAAGTACACTGTGAAAACACAAACATGTATGCTAATTGTTGAGTGGAATATAACTAGGAAAACAGTTTGTTTTTATTCTTCAAATGTCTGGACTGATGGGTCTGGTAAGACATTTTCTTCTTTACAAGTGAAGCTTTGCCAACTTCTTTAGTTACTTTACCATGTTGTCAAACCTTTCAGAAGAAACAAAAAAGTAAACATTTGTTGCAAATGCAGCTTTGGCTTTCAAAGAAAAAAACATTTTACATTTCTTAATATAGGTATAAATAAGACAAATAACAAATTAGCCGCTCTAAGTTGTCATGTTAATTTAATAATAACCAATGAATGCACAACATGTTGGCAGTATGGTAATGTAATGGGTGCTATGTCTTCTCAAGAACATGAATAATTTAGCAGAATTTGTACTTGCTGATTACAAGCTGGTTTGAAAAGGAGCTGTTTTGAATTCACTTACACATGTTTTAGCAGAGATGGAACAATGTTAATGATTTATAACTTACTGCAATTAATGAGAGTCAGTCAAAAGATGCTTTATTCAGTGGTAGAGGAAGATCAGATCTTTTACTTAAAGGTAGCAATATTGCAATACAAAAATACTGTTACAGGTAAAATGCCTGCGGTTAAATTGTCACTTAAGAAAAATGTACATAAATGTTATGAGCAAAATGTAGTAGTATCCAAAGTAAAAGTACTAATAAATACTTAAGTACATAGTATTAGTATTACATAAGTAAATGTACATAGTATCATTCCACCATAAGCTTTATTGATACTGACACGTCCCTAAAATCAAATAAATGGGATATTTGGGGGTCAAATTGCAGCCGAAATAATGAAATCTTATTCTACTTTATTTCAGTAAAATCTCTAAAATGTGCTTTAGTACCAACAACAGCTTGAAGCTAATTTATGAATCTTATTCTTTCTATAAAAAAAAAAAAAGGTTGTTTGCCCATCTGGCTCTGAGCCCTCCACTGTGCATTTCACAGACGGCCCATTCAAGTGAGCTGATCCGAACTCTGTGATAAAACTTAACCAAGTCAAAACAAAAGCTCTCTCTGGATAACTGCAGTGATTCAAACGGAGCTTTGAAGGCGCTCCCAGCTGCAGAGGAGAGCGGCGCAGCCCTCTGAGCTTAAACAGAGCACAGTGAGGGGAAAGCCAAACTGCCATGAGCTGCCTGACAGCCACAGGAGCCTCGGCTTCAGGTTTCCTCATCTGGAAAAGCCACTGTAGCAGACCACAACCAAGGGGGGAACAGGAGAGGGGATTATGCACACATACTATCTTGTCAGAGTGTCAGAGGGGTCCCTTCAAGCACATGCCAGCACAGTCTTTCCTGTGAAATCTGCAGTGATTTTACACAAATGAGCAAACTCCAATTACAGATTTTCTTCTTTTTTTTTTTTTTTTTTTGCCCCCTTGTGGGCAGGGGAAACAAGCTGTAAACACAACACTGACATATCATTACCTTTTAACAAACTTAAAAGCAAACAACTGCTTTTTTACACACCCAGCAGTTACAGATGAACAGTATCATTCATTTTTCTGGCCACTTGGTGAATGTAAGTCTAACATTCACTCTCTTTTAGCTTTGTTTTTGGTCTCTACTGCCTCCTGAGAAAAATGTCTGGTTCTTTAGCTGCTAAATACTCCACTGTGTTCACCATTTTGGTGTTGAGCAGGTTGCATACAGTGGCTTCTTAGAGCTTGTTTGCTGGAAAGAGCTGCCTGCTGCCAGCAGAAATGTAGCTGAGAGCATGGTGAGTGAACCGAAGCAGTGAAGTTGTGGGTCAGACAGCTACAGTGAACTGAAACTTGCTACGTAAAGCTGAGGAGCTGCAGATGCCTTTCATAAATCATTTGATACATTATGATAGAAAATAAGGATTATACACGGACACTAAAAGTAAAGAAGTATCATCAGTATCGTGTTGAAGTGTCAAAAGTAAAAGTTCTTATTATCAGAAAGTGTTTACTGTTAATGTATTACAATAACTGGATGCTAATGCATTAACAAGCAGATTTTAAGACACAACATTTAAGATGATGCAGCATAAATGAAAGCAAACCTATTGAAAACCATGACAGAAGCAGAACAAGACCAGAGATCGCAATGGACCACAAAACTATAGTCCAACAAGACCTAACACTGAAGTCTGTAGCTGTTTGAAGTGGAGTAGAATACTTCCTTCTGTAATAAATGGGGTATAAATACGGGGTTGAATAACTGTTCTATGTGCTTTAAATTTGACTGGATTTGTATCTACAGCAGTTCATGTGAAAAAGCCATAATTTGTTCTTTAATCTGCAGCCAATGTGAGCTGACGAGACTAAAAAAAGAACCTTGTGATCCCTCACATCCAAGAATTGTGATTAGCCTTCCCAGTTAAAAACAAAGCACGGGAGGAGCTGATTACATGATTAGAAAGCAGATATTCATGCAAAGTTCTCATCTTTTGTTCGACCCGGCCGCTCCAGCGTGAACTCACTCGACAGCAGCGAGCGTGGTAAGGGTTCAAAATGAGCTCCGAGCTGAACTGCAGCCAGGACTGCACAGCTGATGTATATGCACACTGCGACCAACGCAGTAGCCTCTTTGTCACGGGTGACACCCTAAACTGTGGCGCTGAAACACGGCCGTGCCTGTACAAGACAGGTGTTTCACAAGGTCCAGTTTCACAAGAGTAGTTGTAACATTCAGGCTTGACCTTTGCCCCAATTTCTCATTCTCTGCCTTTGTTTCCCTCCGCCCTCTTGACAAGTTTTAACAAGCAGGGGGTTCCTGACCCTTTGAACTGTGCGGCCAGAAGCTGATTATTTGTGACAACAGCCTGGAGGGAGGTCTGCAAGTCATGATGATCAGTGGTTCTGACAGATGTTGCATCTCTGTGTGCTTCGTGCCTCACCGCCTTTTAAAATCGAGGCCCTGAAATTCCTCATCACCAGTAAAGGTCTGTCTGTTGCAACTGTAAATGTTTATGGCCTTCAGAGTGAACAGTCACATTGTCTTTTAATGTTTTTTAGACACTTTAGAGGACGATAAATTATGCATGAAGTTCAGCACGCTCGCCCTGCTCTGTGTCCATCTCCTGCAGGCTTTAGCCTTGTAATCTGTTTGTGATGCAGCCTTTTGGAAAGTTGTTTTGAAGTTGGTGGGTACTGAAAAGAGACACGAGGAGGAGGCACAAACATCAGACAGGTACACAATCTCCTCAGCTAAACCCTCCTCCTCCTCCCGCAAATGTACTTAGCAGCTGTTTCTGTGGAAGTCACTGGAGAGAGGCTGCATGGAAAAACGAGCCGAGCCAGCTGGGTGGAGAGCTGTGGGAGGATTTTTTCCACTTCTGTCTGTCTGACAGAGACAGGCTGATTTTTCTCAGCAAGCTATTTAACTTTAAGTGCGCAGTCTATTGCATGCAGTGGCAAGTTGCAACGTTTTCAGATGACAGAGACCAATGATTAAGTCATGAATTGTTTCCTTTTTTTAACAAAACAAACAAATCTGTCATAGTTTTTAGCCACTTCCAGTATAGGTTATCCAAAGTTTAGTTTTATTTTTAAGCCTGAAAAATTGCAACTACACATTGATATTGTGTTTTACTCTATACAATGTGTGTGTGCACTCAGACAACACTTTCCACTTTCCAAACATTATTGAACCCTTTTTTTTTTCTCAGAATGAAACGTGTCCTAGAAGTAACACTGAGTTGATGGAAAGTATGAAGCAACGGACTTACTCTATAGCTAATCCCTGCTGCACACCTACCCTGGCCTATTTCTATCAGTTAGACCAAACAGTGGGATCATGTCGACACAGGTGTCTGTAGTGAATACATTATACAAGTCTTATGTTGCTGGATTCTGAATGGTGTCCATCTGTGGCTATCCTTTATGCCTGTGCAAAAACCTGCCAGTATCCTGCCAATAAACCAGTTGTTGAGATTGATGTATGTGGCATGGAGTAAATGTGCATTAGAAAAAGAACATGCAGGTTCTCACTTAACATAGAGACAAGGAAGAAGAAAAAATGAATTTAACATCTGATAACGCTGCTGTGTTACAGACCAGTTCTTGTTGTACAGCCTTGTTTGTTTGTCTGTTTGTTTAACAGAGCAGATACAGGACAAAGACTCGCTGTTCGGTGGAAAAGCAGACACGGCTTATGTCTTGACAGACATACAGAGATTTGTAAGTAAATCTCTGCTAAGATGAAATGATATTTCTACCTTATCCTCTTTCTCGTTTCAGAGCATTATTATTGGGACTCCAAGCTACGCATTCCCACAGCGGACTACCAGGAAGTCCTCCACGACGATAAGGCCGCGCTGGCCTGGCTCTCGGCCTTGCGCCGCATTGGCATCGTCTACCTGAAGGGGGCTCCGGCAGAGCAAGGCCAAGTGGCGAGACTCGCTGAGAGGATTGGCTATCTCAGGCTGACATTCTACGGGTAAGTACTGACGTTCATCCATCTTGCTGTAGTCATCCACAGCCAAGCTGCTGTTTAATAATCGAACTCCACACTAAATCTTGAACTGCTGAATTTTCCACTGATCATATTTTAGCTGGAGCACAGTCCAGGGAGTGTTATTAGTAAAAACACAAACACAAAGGACCTTTTTATTTACATCCCTTTTCCAGGGAATAAAAAAAAAAGCAGCTAGATATTTTGATGAAAGAAGTGCTCACTTTATAACGTTGATGTTTAGGAAAATGTGTCAACTAGTCAATTATCTGTAGCTTTGATTCATTTTGGTTCCATGGAAACGCTTAGAGAGTGTCAGCCGTTCATCACTTTGACTTACTGCAGTGTCGATTATTTGAGGACAGAGACGAGGAAAACAACCTTTAAGCGTTCCAGCTTTTTTAAGCCAGAGGAATTACCTGGTGCACTCAGTCAGAACTGAGGTTTGGAGCGTAAAGCTTTTGCACTGCCAGCGGATGAGCTCATGCTGCTGGAAGTAGAGACTGCAGACTAAAGCTGAAGGCCTGCCATCAGAGAAACTAGACTGTTTTACGAGTCGGGCATCCAAACGAGGCATGCAAACAGAACATGGAAGATAACTTTACCTCATTAGTGCTCGACTCTTGCTGCATCTCAATGAAGTATCTACTTCACAGGCTACAGTCTACGCATTCCTGTGAAGCTGCCCAGTTTACCCTCAGGGATCCCTGCAAAGTTCATCTCATCTCTTTCTTTTCTCCACACAGCCTAATTGTCACTGCTTATCTTCTAAAGCCAAAGTTAAATAATTAACGTGGAGTTTATTAATGAATGATATCTTTGTCCTCAGGCACACATGGCAGGTCCAGGACAAATACATGGCAAACAATGTAGCCTACACATCAGGAAAGCTGAGTCTCCATACAGACTACCCTGCTTTACACTTTGCACCTGGAGTGAGTAAAACCTGATTTGTATGGTCTATTGAGAGGATTAAACTGCACTTAACAGATATGGTATCACTTATGAATTTATGTGCTGCTTTTATAAGTTTGTTTCAACTGCTGGCATTTGGCTGACATTTGGCTTTTTTATGTCATTAAGAGTTGTAAAACGAGCATTTGTGTGGCATGTGTGTGTTGTTGGCTGGGGTAGGTGCAGTTTCTGCACTGCATCAACCAGGCTGTGGAAGGAGGGGAGAGCGAGGTGGTGGACGGCTTCCACATGGCCGAGCAACTGCAGAGAGAAGACCCAGAGGCCTTCTGGACACTCACCTCGCTCCCCGTGGACTTCACCGACACGGGGACGGACTACTGCGACTTCATGCTGCAGTCCAAGAAATGCATCATCGAGTAAGTGGAGTTGTCAGATCATCATTTTATTCCCCCCCCCCCCCCCC